ACCTTGCGCACGGCATCTCAAAGCTCAGAGTTGCGAGGATGTCTCGTCTCAGGCGAGATGGGCCAGACCACCTCGCGCAGGGCATCTCGGAGCCCAGAGTTGCGAGCATGTCTCCAGCGTAACGGGCTGGACCACCTCGCGCGCGGCATCTCGGACCCCAGAGCTGCGACGATGTCTCGGGCGAAACGTGCTGCGAGGAAGTCTCAGGCGAAACGGGCCAGACCACCTCGAGCGCGGCGTCTCAGAGCTCCGAGTTGCGGGGGCCTCCTGGGGCCTCCTGGGACCTCCTGGTGACCTCCTGGGGCTTCCTCCTGGGCCTCCTGTGGCCTCCTGGACCCCACCTGGGGCTTCCTGAAGCCTCGTGGGGCTCCCAGGGGGGGATATATAACATGTGGCCGTCGGGGCCCATCAAAATGGGGGGGGCACAAGAGCAGGAAAAATCAACGAATCGACACCAGATGTGTATTAACTTGACACGTTCTGATAAGGGGCCTCTCCTGGGAGCCTCCTGGGAATCTCCTGCGGAACCCTGGGGCCTGTCCTGGGCGTCCTGCGGCCTCCTGAAGCTCTCTGGGGCCTGCTAGGGCTCCCAAGGTCCCAGGGGGGATATGTAACATGTGGTCTTCTGGCCCCCCAGGCTGGACCACCTCTTGCGCAGCATCTGAGAGCTCAGAGTTGCGAGAATGTCTTGTGCGAAACGGGCCGGACCACCTTGCGCACGGCATCTCAGAGCTCAGAGTTGCGAAGATGTTTCAGGCGAGATGGGCCAGACCACCTCGCGCAGGGCATCTCGGAGCCTAGAGTTGCGAGGATGTCTCCAGCGTAACGGGCTGGACCACCTCGCGCGCGGCATCTCGGACCCCAGAGCTGCGACGATGTCTCGGGCGAAACGTGCTGCGAGGAAGTCTCAGGCGAAACGGGCCGGACCACCTCGAGCGCGGCGTCTCAGTGCTCCGAGTTGCGGGGGCCTCCTGGGGCCTCCTGGGGCTTCCTGGTGACCATCTGGAGCTTCCTCCTGGGCCTCCTGTGGCCTCCTGGACCCCACCTAGGGCTTCCTGAAGCCTCTTGGGGCTCCCAGGGGGATATCTAACATGCGGCCGTCGGGGCCCATCAAAATGGGAGGGGGGGCCACAAGAGCAGGAAAAATCAACGAATCGACACCGGATGTGTATTACCTTGACACGTTCTGATAGGCGGCCTCCTGGGGCCTCCCGGGAGCCTCCTGGGAATCTCCTGCGGACCCCTGGGGCCTGTCCTGGGCGTCCTGCGGCTTCCTGAAGCTCTCTGGGGCCTCCTGGGGCTCCCAGGGTCCCAGGGGGTATATGTAACATGTGGTCGTCTGGGCCCCCAGGCTGGACCACCTCTTGCGCGGCATCTGGGAGCTCAGAGTTGCGAGAATGTCTTGTGCGAAACGGGCCGGACCAACTTGCGCACGGCATCTCAGAGCTCAGAGTTGCAAGGATGTCTCAGGCGAGACGGGCCAGTGTCTCGGGCGAAACGTGCTGCGAGGAAGTCTCAGGCGAAACGGGCCAGACCACCTCGAGCGCGGCGTCTCAGAGCTCCGAGTTGCGGGGGCCTCCTGGGGCCTCCTGGGGACCTCCTGGAGCTTCCTCCTGGGCCTCCTGTGGCCTCCTGAACTCCACCTGTGGTTTCCTGAAGCCTCTTGGGGCTCCCAGGGGGGATATCTAACCTGTGGCCGCTTGGGCCCCTCAGAATAAAGGGGGGGGCGGGGGCGCCACAAGAGCAGGAAAAATCAACGAATCGACACCGGATGTGTATTACCTTGACACGTTCTGATAGGCGGCCTCCTGGGGCCTCCTGGGAGCCTCCTGGGAATCTCCTGCGGACCCCTGGGGCCTGTCCTGGGCGTCCTGCGGCCTCCTGGAGCTCTCTGGGGCCTCCTGGGGCTGCCAGGGTCCCAGGGGGGATATGTAACATGTGGTCTTCTGGGCCCCCAGGCTGGACCACCTCTTGCGCGGCATCTGGGAGCTCAGAGTTGCGAGAATGTCTTGTGCGACACAGGCTGGACCACCTTGCGCACGGCATCTCAGAGCTCAGAGTTGCGAGAATGTCTTGTGCGAAACGGGCCGGACCACTTCGCGCAGGTCTCAGAGCTCAGAAGTTCGAGGATGTCTCAGGCGGGCTCCCAGGGTCCCAGGGAGGATGTGTAACATGTGGTCTTCTGGGCCCCCAGGCTGGACCAACTCTTGCGCGGCATCTGGGAGCTCAGAGTTGTGAGAATGTCTTTTGCGAAACAGGCCAGACCACCTTGCGCACGGCATTTCAGAGCTCAGAGTTGCGAGGATGTCTCAGGCGAGACGGGCCGGACCACCTCGCGCAAGGCATCTCAGAGCTCAGAAGTTCGAGGATGTCTCAGGCGAAACGGGCTGGACCACCTCTCGCGCGGCATCTCCGAGGTTAGAGTTCCGAGGATGTCTCAGGCGAAACGGGCCGGACCACCTCGCGCAAGGCATCGCAGAGCTCAGAGTTTCGAGGATGTCTCAGGCGAAACGGCCCCGACCACCTCTCGCACGGCACCTCGGGGCTCAGAGTTTCGAGGATGTCTCAAGCGAAACAGCCCGGACCACCTCTCGCGCGGCGTCCCGGAGCGCAACTTTTCGAGGATGTCTCAGGCGAAATGGCCAACCCCGGCCAACTCAGAAACGAGAGTTGTGAGGATGTCTCAAGCGAAACGGCCTTGACCATCAAATTTTTGTGAGGATGTCTCTGCTCCGACTTCCCTCGGCCGGAGTTAGCTTCTATCACAACAGCACCCCGTTCAGCAAGCTGTTTGGGGAATGAGCGGTGCCGAGGCGAGAATGACATTTCACCATCTCTCACGCGATGCGCACCGCGTCCCATTCTTGCCACAATATCGACGCCAAAACGTCCATGTTGACAAATAAAACGTCGACATTTATTCGTGGTTTTACAAGATGGATTGCGCCTGCCAGATACGATCGCGATCGGCCTGCGACGTTGAACACTTGATGCGTACATATGTATGTATGTATGTATGTGTATATCTACGTCTACAAGTTTGTTAATGTGTGCTTATATGAATCTGACTGTTAACCATCAAGGGCACCGATCGCAATGTGATTGCTCCGCGGAGGTGAACCCTATAGGGTGAAAGCGATGCTGTGGAATCTACCCAACGAAAGCTATGTGGTGCGAGCAGAGGAAGTGACAACTCTGCGATGCACACCGTGAAGTGCAAGCTAGCTATGCCGTGCAAGCCAGGTGGTGTGACTGTTCGGTGAAGGTGATGGGTGTGAGCCAGGCAGTGTGATGTGAGGCGTGTGGTGCAGGCTATGTTGTGTAAGCTGTGCCTCGTAATTTCAGACCGCGGAGCGACCGCGAGGAGTCCACGCGGCGACCACGCCACGAGGCGCCCACGGGGTGCCCAACGAGGCGGCACCGGCGGCAGCGTGGCGCAGCCGCGGCGTACCCTCCGAGCGAACGGGGCGCCGACGGGGCGCCCACGAGGCGGCGCCGTGGCGCAGCCGCAGCACACCGCCCAGACGCGGGGCGCCCATGGAGCGCCCGCGAGGCGGCACGGGCGGCACCGTGGCGCAGCCTCTCCTCGTGCTCCTCCTCCTCCTCCTCCTCCTCCTCCTCCTCCTCCTCCTCCTCCTCCTCCTCCTCCTCCTCCTCCTCCCCTCCCCCCCCTCCTCTCCTCATCCTCCTCTTCCTCCCTCCTCCTCCTCCTCCCTTCTCCTCCGAGGCGGCACGGCCCTCGGCATGCACCAAAAGCGCGGGGCGCCCACGAGGCGCCCGCGAGGCCGCAGGGACCACAGCGCGGCGCGAACCCAGGATACCGCCCGCTTACGTCACCGAAGATACTAAGAACGCTTGCATGCAAGCACTGCCTGGGGAAGAAGGAACACGGGTGAGGAGGAGGAGGAAGAGGAAGAGGAGGAGGAGCCAAGTGCGCCAAGTCGATCGAGACCGCGGTCCCCGCCCACCCCCGCCCTCCCTCCCAGATCATCTGGCTGGACTAGTTGAAGTTCGGATCAGAAAGCGTCCCCACCCAGCGAGTGGAAGGTGCTCGCGCGCGGTGCCGCTGCCGACGATGTGGCAAGGAAAAAAAAACAACGCGGGCCGCGCACGGGCAGCAGAACCGACCTTCACAGAGGCGCTGCGCGGCGCCGCGGCGGGAGAACCGAACCACTTGGCCCCGCTTCCGACCAGCCGCGCCGAGACAGCGCTGCCAAACTCGCCCACAGGCTGCGCGGCGCTCGAGGGTGGGGCAGGCTTTCGTCCGCTCTCTGGCGCGGGCTGTCGCTGCCGCTCTTGCATGCGATTCGGCGGACGAAGCAGGACCGCCGCGGCCAGGCAGGATCTGCCCTGCTGGGCGAGTCCGGCAAGAGTCGCCCGCTGCGCCCGCTGGCGCGCGGCGACCCGCCCTGAGCGATCTGGCGCGTTCAGAACATTCAGCGGTGGGCGAGGAGGGGGAAGGGAGGAGGAGAAGGCCTTCCCAGAAGGCGGCGGAGCTTCTCGGAGGCCCCCGCGCCTCCTGAGAGGTCTCCTGCGTCTTCGGGGAAGGCTCGGCAACCTTCTCCGGAGGCCGGGGGACTTCCGGGCATTCTGAGAAGGCCATCTCCTTCTTATTTCCACCTCAGGCTCGCCGCCAGAACATGTGCCGTGCCTGGGCGGGAACGGCGTTTTCGTCCGTTCGCGCGTGACTTGATGCGAACAGATGCGAGCGAAAGATGCGCGCCGCGCCTCGGAGTGAGATCGACTCTCCATTGAAATCAGCGCGACGCCCAGGCGAGAGCGCGACTCCTTCTGCCGTGCGGGATGAATGCCCCATCCAATTACCCCCACGCCCTTCGCAACGTCGACGCCAAAACGTCCATGGCGAAAGGAGAGACATCGTCCTTGTGTTGTCTGCGGAAGGGTCGGACAAAACCGCCCATATCCAGTCGCCACAGGCCGGCTCGATCGCCCAGTGAGGATATAGGGATAATTAAGGGTAGAAGGAGTCAAAGGTCGAGGAGGCACTTTATTTCCTGGCGGTCTCTTGGCCGTAGGCAGCCTTGCAACCGAAAGTGCAGCGGCAAGCGTAAGCGCCAGCAGTAGACCTTCCTGGCCATTTGGGCTCAAGCTTCAACGGCTGGACGCAGGTCTGGACGCAGGCGCGAGCCCCCCCCCCTGCCTCTGCAAGCCAGCCCCCCGCGCCGACACGATGGGGTGCTGCATGGCCTCCCGCCAGTCTTTCGACCTGACGCGTTACACAGACGCCGCGAACCTCTTCGACGCGCTCGCGTTCACCGTGGAGGGCCTTCACCTGGTGCGCTTGGTCCGCATGTCGTGGCTGCCGCAGCAGCGCGGCACGGTCCTGAAGAGGCGTCAGGAGCTGCCAGAGGCGGCGTTCGTGTCCGCCGGCGAGCTGCGGGCAGTCTGGGACGCCAGCGAGCGAGGAGGAAAGGACAAGGTGGCGCCGATCATCACCATCTCGTTCTGCTGGGACTCACGCGAGCATCCCGACCCCAATGGGGTGCAGCTGAGCTTGGTGATAGACACCCTGTAGCAGGAGCGCCACAAGTACTCTAGAACCTGTGATTCCTTTCGGGGGTTCAGCGATATGGGCGTCTTTTGGGACTGGCCCTCGCTGCTGCAGGGCGACCCCGACAAGGCCGAGGAGGGTAAGGCCGCCGCCCTGCGGCAAGGAAAAACCCAGAAGGACGCGCAGAAGGCCGCGGACGAGGCCGAGCGTTCCCCCACCGAGAAGGCCGCGTTGAAACATGGGCTGCAGGAGACGATGGACCTGTGGTACGCCCACCAGGCCACTACCGTTCTCCTGCTCACCCAGCACCCCCGCGAGCGAGGCAGCAAGCGCGAGTGTGGCTACGACCAGTCGGGCTGGACAACGTGCGAGCATTGCTCCGCGGAGCAGATCAAGCAGGTCTACCGTTATGAGGCGGACTGGGACGCCGTTGCCGACCTTGGGGCAGGGGCGGGGGCGACGAAGGCCAGGAGGAGGTGGCCGGTGGGCCCGGACGAGTTCGACCGGCTCATCGAGGACAGGTCCTTCACCAACGGCGCGGACCGGGAGGCGGTGAAGGCGCTCTTCCGCCGGATTAGCCGCGCGCAGCTAGGCGGCGTGACGACGCTGGACTTCGACGGGATGCCGCCCCCGACCCCCGAGCAGGCCGCGGGGCTCGCAGGCTGCCTGCGGCTGTGCGCCCGCCTGGAGAAGCTGGACCTGGACAACTGCGCCCTCGGCCCCCCGGGCGCGCCGGCCCTGGCGAAGGCGCTGCCCTTCATGCGCGGCCTACAGAGGCTGTCCCTGGGCAGCAGCGGCATCGGCGGCGACGGCGCGCAGGCCCTGGCGAAGGCGCTGCCCTCCATGCGCGGCCTGCAGCTGCCGTCCCTGGCCAGCCACGGCATCGGCGGCGACGGCGCGCAGGCGCTGAACTCCGCCTGGGGCGACGGGCACGGCCTGTTCCTCTGAGCCTCTGAGCCGGGGGCGAACCCCCCAGGGTGCGGGTGAGAAACGGGAGGGCGCGCGGGAAGGGGAGGACCCGAACGCGACAAGGAGGACCCAAACACGACCAGGAAGCACCCAAACACGACAAGACAGAGGCACATTCACGACCAGCAGCAGAGGCGGAAATGGGAGGCGATCCGTTTGCGACTTCCACTTTCGCCTACCACTTTCGCTTTTGCCTCCCGCTTCTGCTTTCGCCCCCCACTTCCGCCTTCCTTCGCCTCCCGCTTTCGCTTTCGTCTCCCACTTGCGCCTCCTTTCGCGTCCCGCTGTCGCTTTCGCCTCCCGCTTTCGCTTTCGCCCCCATTTTCGCCTCCCTTCGCCTCCCGCTTTCGTTTTCACCTTCCACTTTCACCTCCCGCTTTTGCTTTCGCCTCCCAACTTCGCCTCCCGCTTTTGCTTTCGCCTCCCAATTTCGCCTCCCGCTTTCGCTTTCGCCTCCCACTTTCGCATGCCGCTTTCGCTTTTGTCTCCCACTTTCGCAGCATGGGGCCGGTTCGGGTCGATTCGGCAGCGGACCGGTTCGGCTGTAGCATGTTCGGGTTCGGCGCTAGTTCGGTTTGAGCCGGTTCGGTTTTGCTCGGGACGGTTCAGTTTCGGGCGCCGCCGCCGCGGCAGCACCACCCGCACTTACTTTATAGACACACAAACACGCGCACACACACACACACGCACACACACACACACACGCACACACACACGCACACACACACACACACACACACACACACACACACACACACACACGCACCCGCAAACATTCACAGACGCCCAGGCACTGACAACCCGTCGCTCACGTACCCTTACCCGCCTGTTTAGCGCCCCCTCCCCCGCCCCCCCGCCGTCTCCCCGCGCCTCCCGCTCCTCCCGCCGGCGCTCCGGAGGGCGGAGGCACCGCCCCGTCCAGGGAGGAATATTCAAAAATAGTCAAACAATAATTTCTTTGTGTTTTAGAGCATGTTTTGATTATTGTATAATGTATATGTGTATATATATATATATAT